GCCGAGACTCGAGATTACGTATTGGAAGCTGTCGAGGATATGCGAGAAAGGATTCTCAATATCATGAAGGACAATACCATAGAATGCAAGGATGACGTCGTAAGATCAGATTGGGACGATACAAGCCGCCTTATAAACGGTGTCGTCATAAGTGAACAACTGTGTTGGCGAGCCTGTAAAACGGTTGAGAACGTTGAGGATGAATATTATTTACTATCGAGACCATCACCCAACCTAGAGACAAAGCTGCTGAAATTCATTAAAAACGTTACAAACTTGCGTTGTAAGAAGGAAAGCGATTTATACGAGATTCTACGAAACAACTTCCATGAAATTTATTTTAATTCTGTCGTATATACAAATGGATATTCAAAGGGAAATTGACGAGTTTGGGTAGGACTTTCATTGAACTTTATGCAAAAGTTGCGGGTAAAGTAATTTCCATGGACTGTAAAATCAACGATAGGCTCTCCAAAATCCTACGTCATCGGTAACTTCTCTCTGCACAGCTTAACGTCATCGGGTGCTCCCAACACGAACAATATAAACTTACACGCACGCGAAGATCAGCACAGTCCTTTAGAAGAGCACTCACGCACACACTCGCACGCACACCAATGATGTCTGCAGAACTCTTGCCAAAGATCTGCGAGAAGTTTTCTCCATGGACTATAGGCGAGCGAAAGAGAGTGGATCGCCTTACAACAGCTGCCGTAATTTCCAGAGAGATCGCCAGGGAATTCATATCGTCACCGGACACCGAATCGTCTCTCTCTCGATACGCCGAAACGATGCGAGAGGTCGCCGAAAAGATGGACTTTCGGCTAGGACTCGAATTGGATGCCACCGCGGCGGTGATCGACTTCGAAGAAGACGGGTTACTGGGTGTGTTTTCGTGCCTCAACGACATGCTCGAAATCGGAGACGTCAACTGGGGTCAAATCGTCATTGTGTACATGTTCGGTAGGAAAGTGGCAAAGAGATGGGCGGAGAAAGGTCTCGAGGACTACGAAGATACCGTAGCCGAGTACGTCGGCGAATACGTGGCCACGGAATTGTCCGGTTGGAATTGTCCGGTTGGATCTCCGAACGTGGAGGATGGGTAAGTGTGATTCAGAGGGCGGCAAACACGTTTTCGAGAACGTCAGTTTTCACCGATCGTATCCCGATGTACGTACGAAAAATAATAATAATTTAATAATCATCTATTTTTTTCTCCACTTCAGGATGACTTCGTGGAAATCTTCGGCCGCAGACGTCGAAAGTCGCTCTCCGACCTCACCGTTCCGATCCTGCTGGCGGTCATGTTGGCAACTCCGTTCGTTTTGTTAAACTGCAGATGACTTTAATCACGTTTTGATATCGAATAAAAAGCTGTCGTTTATAACTGTACAAATGTTTAATAAAATCTGTTATTGAATATTAAATTGTAGTTGACATACCAAACAATGCGTCTTTCGTTTAAATCATTGCTTTGTGTATGTGTGCTTGTGTTGTGTGTGAGTGTGTGTGATAGAAAAAAAAGCAGATAATTTTTATTCGTACAATTATTTCCCCTCTCTTCTCGTTTATGTAAGAATGTGTAAAGAAACAACTAGACTCTACGAGTTACAACAGCATCACGTTTGTTATAGTCGATCGAAAACTGTAAATGAGTAAACAGACAAAAAATATATACGTTTCTTTTCTTTTTTTTAATTAAAAACAACTATAACTACAATCGTATGTGTTTAAACAATTACAAATATATACAGTTATTCGGACGAGGCGTAATCGTGGTCGCTTTGAACTGCCGTTCTCATTTTCTTTAACTCGGCGTCGTCTATCGTGCCGCAGCTTCTCTTATGCCCAGCAAAACCAACGGCGATGGAGTGTGGAAGGGCGTGTCCTTTGTTCAGAAGCATCACGTTGGGAACTGAGGCGAATTTTGCTTCAGTCGTCAACCACTCGTTCATTGCCTTCAGCAGTAGCGTTTCCGCAGCAAACAGTGGTCCGTTCTCTCGAACGAAGCCGCAGTAGCAACGGACGTACGGACGCACGTCCCTTTCATTTCTGACGAACGTGACGGACAATTTCAAAGTTTCGTTGAATTGCCAAAGCACCTGCTTTTTTCGAAACGGCTCCAGCAGATCCTCCTCGTCCTTCACGGCAATTGCCATCGTGACGATCCTGTCGGCGGTGTATAAGAGACAGCCCTTGCAGAGGCTGTGACGTTCATCGCAAACATCGATTCCAGAGACGTT